TGAGAAACCCTGTTTATAAATGCCGAAATATTTTCTGTGTGAGAAGAAGGCTTAAATTAAGGTTAAGATGCGGAGCAATCGGCACCGCCTGCGAGCCACACAACACCACCGTTTTTCCACATCGATTTTTTGTTAGGTCGTGATGAATCCAGTCGAGCACTGCATTCGTGCCCAGGGCTCTTCCACGCAAAATAAAATTTTTAATTTTATGGTAAAACATTTTCATTGCTTAGCTCCCGGCCTAACTGTCTGGCTGAGGGATGGAGCTTTACACTATTTCGATCGATACAGGTGGGCTATCGCGGGGGCACGCAAATTGGATGCATCTCGATAACGAAGCCAAAAAGTTTTATTCATTAAATATTTGCTCTTGTGCTTTGAACAACAAGATCTATTGTATTGTCTGGACTACGATCTGTTCTAGGTAACAGTTCCAATTAAAAACCTTTAAAAACAGAGGAAGTAATTATAAAGATTTGAGTAGTAAGCCCAGCTAATTATCAGGTTTTAGTATCAAATCCAACTCGGGCTGGGCCTAGAAAAGTATTATTAGGTATTTTACCTTAGTTTTTACAAAGTTTGAGTTTTAGAGCAGTAAGGGTTCGTTTGTTTTTTTTTCAAAATAACTTTTTGTTTATGATGTTGTCTTCCGTTGTAACGGATTAACAACTTAGCGATGATTTTCTGTACTCCTCATTCAAGTTAGGTGATGTATTACTGTGTTAATCAATCAAAACTTCTTAGTAATAGTAATTAAGTCAAGATTTAGAAGTTATATAGTTTAGAATTATATTAGAAGTCATTACAAAAAGAATTAATTTACATATGTAATAACATCGCCGACATTTTACAAACCATATTTAAACTGATCATTTGAGATAGTCTTTAAATCAACATTGGTTTTTAACTACTGACCTCGATCTATCTGACAAAAGTTCAACTAAGGTTACGAGGGTTGCCAAAGTCACGCCACCTATAGTCAGACTTTTAATTCGATTACTGATTTGACATTGACTACTGTCATTTTGTGAAATAATGATACCACATATAACAGTGTAGTGATGAACACAAAAATCGATAAACAATGAGTGAATCAGTTTCAGGAAGGCATTCAAAAAATTACGGCTACCGAATGGTCTAAATGTGTATCCCATGTTTTCAAAGAAAAGGAAAAATGAGTAAGCTAGATATGTAAATTGACAATAAATATCACAGACACAATTCATAATAAATACATTTAGTAATTACATAAAGTAACAGCGATAGCGATCGCGATGACGGTGACAATTTTTAAAATGTCTGTTTTATCTGTCACGTTCAGAGTAAATTTATAAACGAGAGGAATCGATTCAGAAATATTCGATTTTCATATCGAATAATTTCGCAACGTCACTATTTATTACGTGTCATAACGTTGCAACACCGAAATTGTCAAATCTGGAATGGAATTAAAATTCCGAGTATAGTAAGAAGATATTTTTGCAAACAATCTTCTGACAGTTTCCAGCCACAGATACTCAAAAGCATCGACTTCATCGATCAAGTTTTTTTTATTCTATCTTAAGACCCATACGGAGGATAACCGTGTACATGATGATTTGAAACCTTTAAAGAGTCGATAGCTATATAAATGTAATATCAAATAAGAAATTAGCCTAATGCCAATCTTGACACTAAACAATGACACCGTCTTCTTTCTAATGTCACTGTCATTGAGACTAAAATAAATATATGATTTTCTAAAGGCATTTTTAAAATAGATTAAACAATTGTTTTGGATACCATAACAATACATTGATGCTATGTCTAGATAGACATTGTTTGTATATTATTAGATGTTCTAGAATTGTCTATTTGCTTTTAGCGCAGGCCGCGCAGGAACGCGACTGCGCATGACAAAATCAATAAAATAATCTGGGAAGGATAAAACGAACAGGAGACAATTGTAGTGCCATCTGTGTGAAGCTTTTTGGAACTAATTTTGACGTTAAAGTTAAGGTCAGTGTCCTCTAATGTCAAAATGAATGAACGAATTAAAACTGACGTAAGTGAACGGAAGTGGCTAATATTTAAATTATTGCCCGCGCTTTGTGCTTTTGATTCATAGGTACCAGACGAAAATAGAAGTAGATGCAAAATATGCATGTTTAATAAGTCTGGAAAGCCAATTTAATTACGGTTATCTTGTATACAGCTATTATTTTCAAAAACAATAATAAACTTTATTGACTGGGACGTTTTCGGTGCTAAATTTTTGTCAATTCCAAGTTGATAATGCAGAAAGGAGTAATTAAGGCAATATATGTTATATAAATAAACAACAACGTACATCTATATATGTTGAAAAGAATTTATTTCCAAAAAAATAACATCAAATATTTTGTTAGATACATGATCGAGACTATGGCCTTTGTGGCATCGATGACACTGATCTCAGGATTATATTATTATTCTATGATATTACACAGAAGTATGACACCAATATTATATTCTATTTCTGATTACAGATTGGTATATTTCTACTGAATTCCTAGGATGGGTTATTTGTCACGTAGGTGTGTTTGATTATCATTTATTATTATTATTATACGTCTCTTGCTACAACAGTGTTGTCTTAGATTATACAGATATATTTTTATATGTATGTATATAACAAAATGTGGCCTCTCTTCTCGATACCCTTGAGGTCAAAGCCTGAGTGGACTGGCTTCGTTACTTATCCTACGTGCGTTTACGCGATCCAAGCTCTTAACAACATTATTCAAAACATCTAACATGTTTTTAAAACACGTTCGTCCAAAAATACACATCTTTATAGGCACTACCAACCTAGTCTCACTTGTTGAACTAGAAAGAATAATGTACAGTTTAATAGCACGAAGGGAGTTCATCCTCCATTAGGAGATAATTCTCATTTAAATTATTTTTATATATTATTTTATATATGGTAATATTTTATTCTATAAATTTGAATAGCTATAAGCGGAAAAGCTGGTAGGTATTGTTAGCTAGCTCTACAGTATACATTGTTGAATTAATTGAGAAAATACCAGACATTATTTTTCGAAGCGTCTACTGCCGAAATAAAGTCAACTAGGATGGTAACACCGCTAACCACTCTTATAAAAATTACGTACAAATACTACCGATAAATTGTATATCAAATTATACATAAATATTTAGTTAAAAATTTTCATACAATGTATGGTCGTTAGAAGTCGCAAACTTCTTTCTTAGTCGATTGTAATATTTTCGAAGAGCTTTGCTCTCGAGTAAAGCTTGTACTTACATAATATAAATGTTATATAACTTCATACCTTATGTCATTTCGTTATATGCGAGTGGTTATATATTTTCTTACATAAATATAAATAATATTATATATTAATATTGACATTGTGTGCAATTTGTTGATACATTTTTGGTAAACTAAAATATTAGTCAAATGCTATGGAAAATTTTTTAAATGTAGAAATATAAATGTGTTTCATTTTGTTTTTCTATTTATATTTAGCCACTCGCAAAATGTACAAGGCCGTTCAAAGATTTATAAGGTTAGAAAAATCTTAATTGCACGTTAATTATGAAATAAATCAAACCTTTAAACATTAAACACAAAATATTAAAAATGAAAATAATGTGAGACCAGCTCAACGTTTTTAAACAATTATGAATAGATTATAAAATTGTACTATAAAAAAATAACAAATACATATATAATTATACATATATTTAACGGGACAACTACGTATTTGGTATAAAAGACTAGATTTAAAATGATGTAATTTAATAATGTTTTTATATATTATTATTATTTCATTTCATTGCACAATTGTTTAGTTGCAACTTGAAATAGCATTCCCTACTTATTGGTCTCGCGGTCCTGACACCCGCGTGTTAATATATACTTGTTCTTTATATCTAAACCTTTCCTTAAAACGCATTCAACGCACAGTCATTTCCGAGAGTAACCCAAATATATAGGCTGTATATAAATATATACTTATATACCTAAACATCGGAATTATTGTAAAATACGTGAATGCAAGAACATCTACATAAGTCATGAAACTATTTATAAGTTATGAATATTCTATGTAATTATTTTACTTATTTGATATATCGTAATAATATATAAGTACTTTAAAACGGTTATAATATAGTTCTTATCTAACATTTATGATATTATAGTTCTAAGTTACATCGAATAGGCTTGTGCCAAATGTAAAATAATATAATGTATCCTTACTTTTATCATCAGACCCAGTCCCTATGTAGGTAGGCCGAAAGAATCATGCGCTAATCGCTTTTAACAGCTACGTACTTTAGCATAAAACCTTATTTTCGAAACATTTATAAGTAATGATAATTTAATTTTAATTCTAGATTTAAGTCGGTGACAGCCCTAAAAAAAGGCTAAAATATAGAATTTTATCGTAATGAAAGAACAGTAAAAGAATTTTGAATTTGAAAATTAAATAACTTGTAGAAAATAAGTGTCTTAAATTATTTGTAACATAAAAAAAGGAAACACATCAAAATTTCAAATAATTGAAAGGTTCACTGAAACATTGTTTCCATTCACGCCAACCAATGAGATCAGTTGACTTAAAGCTAGTCAACCAATCACAGTGCATGACATATTTGTTTTTTTTTCCTTTGACATAATTTCACCGGTAAACTAAGTTATTAGCAACGAATATTGTTTTAAAGCTTAAAGAACTGTCAAGAATCAATTATGATAATGATTACTTTAGAACTACTGACATTCAATCTTACATGTAATATTATCTTGAAACTACAACAATAAATTCGAGACACTAATTCACTTTTGATATCATATTATTCTTAACTAACGTTAACTTTCATAGGGATTTATAGGGACAGAAATATTTAACTACTTATCAAAGAAATATTAGAAACAGTGGATATTAAAATAGCAATAAATAAGAACAAAAGTGTAACATACAATAAAGGGTTAAGAGATATAGTGTAAGATCCGACGACATGGTTTTTGCAATCAACTTTTTGCCGATAGCGAATGACAAAAGAAGGCGGAAAAGTGAGGATCAGTCAATTTGTATATTAGGTCGCTTTTAACACATGTTTTTTTACTATGGTCTTAGTAAGAGCAAAAACCTTATCGTGAGATCTTAGACCTTACAACTTTTGTAAACCTAAAGTGCTGGGGGTTCATCGTGAAGTCTAGCCACCTTTGTTGAAAGAAGAAGCAGTGCGCAACTTCTTGCGGATCCTTGGAGAACTCCAGCGAGGGACCACGCGAGTATCACCTGGAGAAACGCCTTCGTCGACATCATCGGCTTCGGTCTTGATTTCCATTTTCTAAAAACGGTAGTAGTATATGTTAGTTATACAACTTTAGTTGAGTTTAATAAGAGAAAATATTAAGACAAACAAGCCGGGTCTAAAAAGATAAAGACACGGGTGAACTAGTATTCAAGAACTATAATTTCGGCATGGTGTTACCAGCTGATGACAATTTACTACCGCACTGCGGGCTTCCTCTATAAGCGAGACATGCAAAAATTTACCACAGCCTTCGCTGGTTCTGAGAAGCTGAATTTAAGATTAGAATTATTCTTTATTTATGTTTTACTTAAAGGCAACCCACCTGAACAATCAAACGGACAAGCGTATGCTGTTGCTCCAATACCATTGATATGTCACGCAATTTACGTTTCTGTTTCTCCAGCTCAGCAGTTATGTAATCCTCACTGCTCTCCAGCACCAAGTCGAGACCAGCTGTAAATGTAACCCCAGTAAAGAATTTAAAACCTATTCCAACTAGCTGAAAGTCACCTCTTTTGAGTTTCATATTCAATGTACTTACGACTAATGATCAGAACATGATATCGCATTAGCAAAGTTAGAAATTTCGAATTGAACAAGATATGCCAATGTTTAAAATATATTTTCGCCAATTTTGAGAATAATAATTTTGATGCATTTAAGTAATTTTCGCAAATAACGTTAAACGAACATTCGCTTCGACATTAACATTAAGATGCAATAACATACCATCATCAGTGAATGGGTTGCAGAACCATTTGCGAAGAATCAGATCCAAGAAGCCAAGCTTGCATTTCTTGTTGTTTGGGTATTCAATCAGTTCATCTTTGTCCACTTTCTCCAGAAGTATGGCTGGTAGTTTGCGTTCGAGCTCAGTGTGTAGAACGACCTAAAAGTACACCACAAAAATATGTTATAGCACGTGTAAGCTGTACCTACTGTGATTATTCAAAACTATGATTTTTAATTGACGGAGATCAGGTGAATCAAACTCGCTAATTTTGAAAGAAACGTAAGTGCCTGTTACGGCTTCTAGAAAACAATAAGACTTTTCAATTTGAGTCTTAAGTCCAGCCAAGCTTGATTTTCGTAGATCCAGATATCTTCACATTTTGGTTAGGCAACTTACCAGTTTGCACGGATTCACACGTAAATACAAATGATTCCAATCAACACATTACCTGCATGGCTAGTCGTTTCAACTGGGCATTTCGCCTCACACTCTCAATGTCTCCTACAGCCAAACCGATCAGCAAGTTCATCAGCAAAATGGGCATCAGCACCATGAATATACCAAGTATGAAAAACGTAGGCATTGGGAACGGCAGCAGAATATCTGTCTCAGATTTGTAATAGGGCTGAACGTAAGTGCCAACGAAGTCCAATTCTCCAAGCATCATAGCAAAGGTCCTCATCAGAGACATAGGTATGCTATTAAACGACAAGTGGTGTCCCTGGAAAAAGTATAGGTCAGCAATTGGTTCCTATTTAACACGCAGAGCAAAGAGTCGCGACAGCGTAGTATCTAGTGATATTTTCTAGCATTAACACCATTCAACATTGTTTGTGTAAAAGCATTTTCTATAACAGTGATAGTTTTTTTCGCATTACGTGCGTTTGACGCAATTTTGAAGTAAAATCGCTGATCGTGAATAGTGCCAATTATGAGTGGAATATTTTCATGACGTCATGAACGCTAGCGAGGAATGTAATGGTTTTATTTTAGTACATTTTTGGACAAATGATACACACTCAAAAAGTCACAAATAAACAGGTTGTTAAAGACGGTATCACAATAAAAAATCACATACACAAACATTTAAACTCCGCACAAGTGTGTGCTATACAAACATGGATTAAGTACGGTAGGTAATTGAAACCACAACCCTGTGCACAAAAGGTGGACTGAATAGCGCTGTGCTATTTACCTCTTAAAGTGCAAGTTACCACAGTTTTCACTTACCTTTTCGTAGATTTGATACCTTGGGTCAGTTGCTCACACTATTATTTACTAATAATAGTGCAATAGCATTAGCAGTGGTAACTTTCGTTCAGTATTCATTAGAATTTTAATCTTACCAACAAACTACAAAAATAGCAATATACATAAATACCGTCTCGTCAGGACCCACTTTAGACAGGAGAATATAAAACGCCATTCCAAATGCGATGATCAGGATTGAAAACACCATCAAAACTTTTATCAGGGTCTGAAGTATTTCGAGGAACATGACAACGTAGATTCCAACTTGATCGAAACGTTGGAGTAGCAGAAGCAGCTCAAACCATGACAGAAATACAGTTATTGACGCAGCCGAGAACTGGAAATGTAAACAACATATTGTTGTAATATTTTGTTATCATTACTGATTGATAAGTATTTTCATTTTATTAAGAAAGTCAGACGAGAAGTATTGATTTATGCTTTATGGATGGCTATTAGACTTTTTTTTGTAAGGAAAACTACACAAATAAAGCTCCCACCCTCAAGAGAACCCTAAAGGGCTGATGTTCAGCCGGGGTTGCGGGGTAAGCGCAATGAGGCACCGCGACCTCGGCCCAGAGCAGGAGAAGGAACAGGTACCCTCAAGAGAAGGGGTGTCGCGTTATAGTTTATTAAAATTTGTCACCTGAATCTCATCAAAATATTTGCAGATTGTCGGGATAACCATCAGAGTTGAGCTTATATACAGGAGCCAGGATACCAAGTTGGACGGATCTACCAGATAATGCCATTTCTGCTGTTTGACGTTGTATGCCTCTCGTATCAAACATATGGCATTATACGCTAATATAGCCACGGTACTTGTATACATTGCCACTTTCGATTCAAAATCTGAAAGCATAAAGTTTGTTTTTAAATGTCTTCAATACTCTTTAAAGATTAAAGAGCGTTTTTGCATTGTGCCTTTCCAGTCCCTTTCAAGCCCAAAATATTGAAAACTACTAAACAGATTTTAACGAAATTTGGTACTCATACGCAATTTATCAAGATGTAACAAAATTAATTAAGACTTTTATGTTGATTATAAGCTTTCGGTAAAATCACTGTCTGGGGTATGTTGGATGTTGCTATTATAATGCAAATGCAAAATAAAGTGTATTTAGGATTACAACAATTTGAAATGAAACTTACCAGGATTAAAAACAATATTCTTTTCAGTTTTGTTCTCACGGTCAAAGCTCATAGGGTCGGATAAGTTGCATTTAGCGGCCTTCTTCGTCGGTCCATAATTTTCAGAGTTTCCCATCAGCAAATACGTGTATACAGTTACAAAGATCAAGAAGATGCAGTAGAAAAGTAAGTTCGCCAAGTGAAAGTATTTGCCGTAGCTGTGCCATTTCATTTGAAGATATTTCTGACTCAGTGGATGGGCCAATAACTCCACCCGTCCATGAGCAACCATTGCCTGAAATTGTATGCATACAAGATTAGTTTAACGAATTTGTTTAGAATGTATGATGAAAAATCGATGGTAAAAGTAAAAGAAAAAATTAACAAGAAGTAAAACAGCATCAGTGATTAATTATAATACATCATCGAATGTTCATCACAGTAGTGTACAAAACAGTGCTTGATTTTTTTGCGGTGAATTTTAGATCTATTTACAGAAACAAAAATATTAAAAAAGCGAACTCAGTGACAAAAACCTCCACCCAAACAAATAGTGTAAGGTTAGTGAAAGCGTCGTGTGTTGCTGTGTATTGGACAAATGCCTGGACCTTGATGCTTTGTTTTGTGTGCGATTCAGAAAAGTGTTTTTGTAATCGTGTTTCTCTGGAAAAATCTATAAAGCATTCTGTGTTTAAATTGTATCAGATTATTTAGAATTTATACTTAAATCGTTTTGTTCCACAAGTTCTATTTAGTTTTTCAAGAGAACATACAAGCACCAAAAATTCCGGCATGTAAGTTGTGAGTATAAGCTAGGCACCACTCCGCTAAGAGTTTTGACTCACGTTGATAACACACAACGGTTCTGGCCGATACTTGGGGTCATTTAGGGCCAGTCTTAATGCGTCGACTTCAAGCTTCGACCGTTGGTAGAATTTGAAAGAATACTTAATCTGCGATGCAGCAAATGAAAGAAAAATTGTATAATAGGTATAAATTACAAGAATAAACTCACATTTAGGGCAGGTAAGGGAATGTTCTGGGATTTTGGCACGTTCTCCGATTTCCGACGAACGTTATTGCCATCTTCCATTTTTAGTTGTGGACACAGGGCATCGAAGCTATACTTTATCTAAATAGGCCATTTAAACAGATTAGGTTGATATAATATCAGAACATGAATACATAATATTCGATGCTATCTTATAAATATTAGAAGTCTTACCTCTAATTGACTATTAATGGTCTTTAAATGAAAGGATATTAACTTATTGTACCTGTACCGATTTGAGAATTTACTGAGTTACTGTATTAAAAAGAAAATAAGTCTTTACTTTCATAATCTACTATATCTCCTACTGATCCAAAAATAATTATCTAAGATAAGATAAATCATCTTATGCTCCTACTTTCGACTAGTTCAACAAAAAAAAAACAGACTATATTTTGTTCAAGATTTTTAAGACATACGTAAAAGCTTTTGGAGTCCTTTTTGCAGTTTGCCTTGGTGATGCATTTGTCCTGCACAGCTTCGAAGACTCGCGGCATGTAAGCAATGAGGGCAAGAGTCACACAGGGATGACGGTCAGAGCGCAACGCCATCACCTCCTTAGCCCTGAAACATTATCTGTTAATAAGTTTATCTCGTTGAAGTAAGGTATCGAAATGGTTGCTGTTTTTTTATTCCCTACGGGTTGTTCACTACCATCACTAGTATACAACTATCGAACTACTGAGAAACAACCCGCTTTCACACGGACCAACCTGCAATGATGACCACAGTCGCTTAAGGTGAAATGGTAATTTCAAACTTCTAATTTGAAGTTACATGATTAAGTTTTACTCGTTGACCTCGTGTAGATCATTTGACAATGCTTACCTTCATCGTATCTCAATGATGACCTAATATCCGATATCAGATAATTAGCCGGTCTCAGATAAATTAATTTAATATCTAGATCAAAACCTTTCGTTTTTAAGCTAATAATATTTGATTGTAATGTGTTTTGTGCATGAAAAAAATAAATAAAAAAAATGTGTCAGCGGTGGAGAAAAACGGTTATGTGTCCGAAGATAGATCACGCCTGTCTAGGTAACTGGGTATTGCGAAGACCTCCCCGAACCCCGAACGGTCGGTGTGGTTTACTACTCGTACGCATGGCAACTCACCGCCTGACCAGAACCAGACCCGAACTCAAATAGCTTTTTTACACGAAGAAGGAATGATTGGATTCTGTTATTGAAGATTGTATATAGACTATTATTGCTAAAGTACTGGAAAGAAAGCTGAAACAAATTATTGCTTGCTTCTTGCGTCTGCATCAACCAAAAGTTGACCAGTAGAGAATGCTCATTGCATTAAGTCCACCTTATTATATACACTTTGGGGCATGAAGTAAAATAGATACATAAATAAAAAATAAATAAACAGTACCGGTGCTCATGGGTAACCATAGCGAGAGCTGCCTCTGGGAACTTGTAATAGATGGCGTAGTCGATGGCACTCATGTCCAAGTTGTTGTAGCTAAGACGGCATCCCATGGACAGGAGAAGAGCTATGGAGTTTGGCTTGTTTTCCATTGTAGCAAGATGCAGGGGGGTGTTCTGAAAACAAATACAGCAATTTGAATATAACTTTAAAATACGATGTTTATTTACTCTCTGTGCCGTGTGCAGTTATACGCATTATAATGACTATGGAATTTAGTAGAGTAGAAGTGGAGTTTAGTACATAATTGTTGGTCCATTTTTAATTTTAGATGGCTCAAATGTTAATCAAATAACAATAGAGATGAATATGTTGCGATAGTCTTTAATGAACTGATAAAAAGGTTGCAATGATGATTGCAACAATTTGGAGAAAGATTAAGAAGAAACGAGGTTTGTCATCTAGCAAGGTGACAGATGAGATTATTTTTGTGAAGTTACGTACTTCAATCACTTAAACCCAAAAGCGTCTTGTTTGCATTTTAAAGAGTAAAATTTAGGCAAAACGTACCCCATCCTTATCGGACTGGTCTAGGAGATGAGAGTGCACGGAATGCAGGAGTTCGATCGTCTGGGTGTACCCAGACATGGCAGCCAGGTGCAAAGGATTACGTCCATTGTGATCTCTGTGCAGCAATGCTCCACGGTTCAGTAACAAATGCACGACCCTCGTATGACCTTCACGAGAGGCGATGTGAAGAGGAGTCAGCCCCTCTCCATCGCTTTCGTTGATGATGAACGTGCCTTTGTCAGAGTCAAGCAGCTGGCAAGCGGTGTGGTAGCGTCCGTATCTGTAATCATGAACGACAATGACAGTCACTGTAAGTTTGTTAACCGCATTGGGTAAGTTAACATTCTTAGCTAGAGCCAAGTGTGTTTTTCGGTATAAGGAGTCGAGACGAAATCTTGAATATGCTAAACAAATTTGGCCAAAATTTGGAAAAAGGTTTTCTTTGGTTTAGGTTAGGTCCATTGAGCCAGTTTTAATATTTCGAATTGAAGGTAGATGAGAAATAGATTAAAAATATAAAACCTGACTGACCTGATAGTTAATGCCTAGGCTAGAGATAAATCTTATTTTGTAATAAGGGGGCTTAAGTTTGATCAACGAACTTAAAAACAACATTACTTTATTGAATCTCAAAAGAGGAACCAGCTATGCTAAAACATTGTGGAACACAATAAACGTACTGAGTATTCAGGTGTACCTAACCGATGAGCAAATTTAATCGATGAGCTTACATATTAAACTAGTCAACCTCTTTTTTTTATAAACGTTGCCTCACAATAGAATTTTCTCCTGTGTTGTGGGTGGGTTTACAAACATACAATTTCACATGCACATCACACCCAGACCCGGAACAACAATCTGTGGATCACACAAAGAGTTGTTCCGTGCGGGAATCGAACCCGCGATACGTTGCGCGGCAGCCTGTAGTCCAGCCACCGCGCCAACCGTGCAGTCCCTCTGATTCCATAATGATAATGTCACGTACCTAGCAGCGAAGTGCAGAGGACTCTCATTGTTATTGTTCTTCAAGTTGATGCAAGCACCAAGACGGATAAGGTTCTCTAAGGACCTGATGTGACCTTCACGGCTGGCGTAATGAAGGGGAGAGCAGCCAGCGCTGTCCTTTTCGTTCAGAAGCTGTGCGAGGCTCTTGTCACAGCGATTCTGTAACGTGGACTGTTTAGTGGAACACGGTGTCATGAAATTCGTTAGTTTGTAAGTACATATGTAGAATGTAAGATGTAGAAAAAAAATGCAAAATAATCTGTCAGCAGTAGGTACAGAAAATATGAGTAATACGGTTAATAAATATTGAATGCAGAATTAAAGTGAAGAAGAATTAAAGAATTAAATATATATATAAGACCGTTGAGAGTTACATAATGTGTTAAAATTGTGCAAGAAAGTTTTGTAGTTAAATATTATAAGAAGCATGCAAAAAGTGTTAAAAATGAAAATGAATACATTTTCTTCAATTGTACGTAGCCAATTAAATGTTTTATTTACAAAGGCGTAACATAAATTAGTTTAAAAGACAAAATACTATAAAGGTATCGAAAATTAAAATAATGTAAGCAGAGCAAGTATAATATAGGTATATTATATACATAACCATCAGCTCAATTTTACAAAAGCAAACGAAATAGCAGAAATCTTATATTTTTTAGTAATAAAAATTAAAATAAACAAATATTACACCCACCAATTTCAATAGAAAAACAATTTGATTAGCTGTAGTATTTTTTTTTTGGAATTGCTTTAAATAATAGTTACAAGGTCAGAATTCTTAGGTTTTTCGAACCAAGTAGGTACCTACATTTATGCCCATTTGGTTTAGTCTGTCATACTTTGGCTAACAGTTTACTTAGACAGCACTAGCGGACCCCACCCAAAAACCCCCACATATCAAATTTCAGCGAAATCGTTAAGGCCGTCTCCGTGATCACATGCTTTTTCAAGCAATCAGCGCCATCTGCCGGGCTGATTGTGAATCATAACTAGAGCGGCATTTGAACGCATACAGAAAAAATCATTTAAATCTGTCGAGCCGTTTAGGAGTTCAATTACATACACATGTATAGCAGAATTATATACTTATATAAAGATTATACTGTATTTGTAATCTACGCATAAAGTAGTCAAGAATAACCACAAATAGAAATGTGACGATTATTACTAAGTTATTATATAAGTTACTTAAGAACTTTAATAAGTTATCTTGTTCGGTCAATCGTTCCAACTTTATGAAAGGTAATGGATACGGCGAAGGATCGGTTATGTAAGGCTAAGACATACTATCCCCAGTGGATTAACCCAATCAAGTGGGTTCGTTACTTCGTCAAGGTAAGTTTAACTGCGTGACGGACATTTTTTCAAACGTTACGAAGATATAGGTATTCGAAGATTGAGGAAAAATTCTTCATTAATCTATCACATATCATATAATGGTGTACATTTTTCTATGTGTAATGTCGAAAACTTTTATTTATTATATACCTAATAGAGAGAGCAGCCCTGGCTTCGTACGTAAAAAAAGCTGATACTAAATTTCTCCATTTTATGTAAGTTATTAGACATATAAACGATCCTCTTCTTTCACTCTATCAATTAGAAAGACCGCATCAAAATCCGTTGCGTAGTTTTAAAGTTTAAAGCGCACATATGGATATAGGGAAAGAAAATTGTTTTACACTATGTAGTGATAATACTGTTTTGGCTTTTCTAACTCAACCTGTGGACAGAGTTGATTAATTGAAAAAAATCAATATCGATTATTACACGCACATATAGTTACAAAAAGTGGTATAAGAACTGACCTTGCACGTAGCTGCGAACTCCTCAAGCCTGCCTCCGTTCATCACAACGAGATGGAGCACGTTCCTGGAATTTATATCCTTTAGCTCGATGTCAGCGCCCAGACGAATCTGAAAACAAATTGAATTGGGAATAAAGAACCTAGTTTTTATATTTTTGCTATAAAATATAGGGTTTCAATGAAGAAAAATGGATGGATCATTCTTTATAAAATTTGAATGAATCATTATAAGAGTTTTTTCGTAGTACGAGTTCATCGTAGTCGTATCGAGTTAGTAGTTCATTTTTATTGTCGCTTGTCTAAATTAAGAGGTCAAAACACTGCACATAAAACTAAATTTTTGGACATTTCTGTTTGTTCTGGATAACTGTAATAAGTCTTGATCGGATCGGTCGATTTTACATGTTCGGTAGAGCCATGCTTCGGCACAAATGGATCGGCTCGTCTAGAATGATACCACGGCCTCATAGAAAACCGGCGTGAAATAACCATATTATCATAATTCATAATTCATAATTCATTTATTCACTTTTAAATAGAGTACATACAATTGATGACTTACATGTTATATTATTTGTTTTATATTCTATTTAGCCAGGTTTTGGTATGTGAACTTTAAATGGAAACATAATCTACTATCTACTTTAGTCTAAAAAATTCAAAATTTTAAGTCACTTTATTACTAATTAAAATGTCCAAACAATATTATTAAAGTCATATTACATTTTATAGAATCTTTTTATCTACTGAAACCATTAATTTATCGAATATAACATTTTCTTTAAAAGCAGGTCTTTAAGGATTTTCTTAAATTTCGATAGTGGAAGATTTTGGATATCTATTGGTAACCGATTATAAATTTTTATACACATTATAATAACAATTTTTTTGGAACTACGCTGTTCTAGGCAGGAATTCGGATACTAGTCGCTCGCCTCGTTTTGTATTTCGAGGATATTTATCACTAGCTTTCATGAATAGGTTTATATTGCATTTCACAAATACACAAATTTCAAAAATGTACATACTTGGAAGATGTAATATTTTTAAGCGTTCAAAATGAGGCTTACAAGACTCATAAGGTGGAATTCCAACTATGGCTCTTATGCATCGTTTTTGAGAAAGAAACGCTCTGTGATGATGTGTTGAGTTTCCCCACAGTATTAGTCCATACCGTAATATGGAAGCTAAATAGCCATGATATGCTAGCAAAACCGTCTGTAGCGTTGCTGTAGTTCTAAGTCGATTTAAAACATATACAAAACTATTTACTTTCTTGCAGACCCCATTGACATGAGCTTTCCAATCTAAGTATTCATCTATTGTAAATCCTAGGAATTTTACATTTGAGGACTCATTTATTACTGTGCCGTCATAACCAATATTCCTCTGAGTGATTTTTGATCCATGTGTTCGAAATTGCATAAAAGTAGTCTTATTTATATTAACTTGTAAGTTATTGCTTACTAGCTACTCTATTATTGAATCAATTGTTTTATTAATTTCCATGTCAAAATCATTATTAAATAAATTATCATAAGTGAATAAAATAGAGATGTCATCTGCAAATAGTATACACTTATTAGTAGTAATGTCAGGTAAATCATTGATGTAAATGAGAAAGTATAAGGGACCGAGAATACTTCCTTGCGGAACACCATATCTATTAACAATGTACTCAGACCTTTCTTGTTTTAATACTTCATTTTCCTCTAGGTAAGTTATTTCTACACATTGTTCACGGTTATCTAAGTAACTTTTTGTCCATTCTAATGCCTGACCTCTAATTCCATAATTTTCTAACTTTTCTAATAATAATTTATGGGAAACGAAGTCAAATGCTTTTGACATGTCAAAAAAGATCACCATACTTTGTTTCTTTCAATAATTAATTTCAATATTCAATAAAATATTGTGCACTAGATCAAATGCAGCAAGTGTAGTTGATTTTCCCCTTTGAAAGCCAAACTGTTCACTCCTTATTAGTTGGTATTTATCCAAGTATGAAACTAGTCGTTTTTCATAGCTTTTTCGAATATTTTTGAAATAATTGGAATTAACGTTATGGGTCTATAATTACCTATTTCAGTTTTATCTCCTTTTTTGTATAATGGCTTGACTACTGACTTTTTCAAACGACAAGGACAACTACCTTGTTCAAAGGATAGGTTTATTAAATAACACAGCACTGGTGCGATATTGTTGATACATTTTTTTAAAATGTTAGTTGTTATGCCATCATATTCAACCGAGTGTGTATTATTCAAAGACATAACGATATTTTTGACTTCTAATTCTTCAGTCGGTATAAGAAACATAATGCTATTTGCCCGGCTTTTATTTGTGTTTTGTATATCACCACTTTTGCTATTTGTTAGATCTACTAGGTACTTATTAAATTTGTTTGCTATATCAGAAGGATTAATTACTATGCCATTGTCAGTTTTGATTTCATTTATAAACTCTAGATTTGTATTACATCCTATGTCATGTCCTTATCGTTGAATTTTGCCTCGTAGTAAAGTTACCGGAGGATCGATCCTTCTTCGCTTCCAACAGTATCTAAATATCCGAAACCCTGATCAGCAAAAGGCAGTCAACGCACTCGTAACTCCTCTGGTGTTAGTCGTAACATTGATTGCTTACTATATCCTATCATACAAACCAATAAGCACTCATATTGTTATCAGTGCAGCTTAGTTCCAAACTACCTTAACAGTCTACCTACACAGCTGTGACCTTATTATAAGGAATTTTTAATTTACTATTTATAATTAAATAGCCAAAGACAGTATTTGCACGCTTTAATTCCCACTTAATTAAGGACAAGTGTCTAATACACCCACACCTTGTCAGTTATATAACACGGCCCATAGTTCTTATATGTAAAGAAAGATACGAATATGGGTGTGGGCGAATTGGAATGACAATACCCTTTAGAACTGTTTCTCAGTATTTTTAACACAATATAATGTTTTTGTATTGATTATAGCAGTCGTTTGTTTTTCCTCTGATATAGTTTGAAACGTGTACCAAATGTATAAAATATTGTCAGGTATGGAAAACATGAATTGCGCTTTTTTGCACTTTCAAGGCAATGTTAAACTTCCCGATCGATTGCAATCGCGGTGACCAGTATATATATATAGATCTAACGCAGTGGCCAGACTTTTAAGGGTTTGATTAGCTACTTCCTAAATGACGCTTAATTTGCGTCGGTGATAGACCATTGTAATGGAACGTTTGCGGCACTTAATACTTACCAAAAATACTATGTATAAATCACCTCCCCTGTTTATGTAGGCCTCACTGACAAATCAAAAATCTTAGGTATAATTCAGCTTCCCTGTTAAGATAGGTCTCACTGACAAAGCATTGAATAAATACTATACGAAATTTTGTTTTTAGCTTTGACGACTCATTACATGTCTGATATTGATTCGATGTTACGCTTTTCGAAAGATTATATGTTTAAAAACTAGAATTTTACTAATGAAAACAAAATTCATCGTCCATTTAGTGAGAAAACCATCTAAACTTATAATTTTATGGGCAAAAAGACCGTCAGCTGATGCAATACTCGTTTTAGGCAAGTTTGAAAACAAATGAACGGGAGACGTGCTCACCATCCATTTCCGTGGATCTAATAACAAATGACGAACGTGGCGATGTGTGGATCATTCGTAGAGCTAACCAAATGCAACGTTCCGTCTGTTTGAATACAGAAGTGTCTTCGATGCCACATGATGAAGGATTTTACACATTTGTCCATTGTCCAGAATTTCACACCTATTCTACGAATATTGTAAATCTACGTCATAGCTGCCACCACTTATATATTTGTCGATGTGTTCTAGTATCATATACATCACCAGTGGTTTATTTTAATACACCTACCTAAATTTGACATAATATAAATCATTTGAAACCTGAGAGTATGAAGCCATAATAACTTTATAGAATGTTCACAAAAACTTTGTGTTGTTATTGAAAGTTTTCAAAGAATGTGAATTGGAAATGGCCATATTTCAGGTTGGATTTTTTGCATAGTAACAGTTAATTAGGACAAGACACTTATTAGTGCTTAGAGCTTATTTTAGACGCCAAGCGTTTAACTTTTATCTTTTTAAAATATACTTTAGAAACCTGTAGGAACTAGTTTCTCGGTCTTCTTTCCCGGTTTGATTCCGCTTGCTTAACATAAGGAGGTTGCAGCTTGTTTGCCGGAGTACCATGTAAAATAGATATATTTTGTTAACTCACCAGAGTCTGTACCGTCCTCCACCCAGCTCTAGAAGCAGCTAACAGCAACGGTGATCTACGCTCCTTATCCAGAGGATTGATGTCAGAACCCTCACTGATAAGATAGTTCACAATGTCAGGATGGTCGAACATTGCGGCGCAGTGCACCGGAGTCATTTTCTGAACATCGCAAGATGTCAGGCAAGCAAGCTTCTCCGTTGGCTGCATGGTGAACATGAGCTTCACTATCTCCAGAGCTCCCTGGAAAATATATGGCAATTTTTGTTACGCATAGTTGAGAAGAAACTTAAATGAAATTTATATTATATTGTACGTACCTGAGCGCAAGCCAGATGGACTGGTGTAGACAGATCATACTGTTGAGTTGATATCTTTGCTCCAGATTTCAGACAAAGTTCGACGGCTTTGATGTCTCCTCCATGTACGGCAGAGTGCAGGGGCACATTGCCCTCATTATCGTACAAGGATATCATTGATTCTCTGGTGCAACCTTTAGACTCTCCCCACTGGAGGAATACCTCCATAGTCCTCGAGGAAGCGTTCTTAGCAGCCTCGTGGATGGGATAGTACCCGTTGTTACAAGCTCTCTTGCATTCAGCGCCTAAGTCTGTTATCTGTGTTGATTTAAACTAGCATAAATATAAAAATGTTTTGGTAACGCTGTAGGGCTTTAAAACTAATTATGTCAGAAAAATTATGACCAAAATTCTTGAAACAATTTCCTCGTGTTTGAGAAAAGTTACGAAAGTTCGAAACAAAGCCGCTGTCATTTAATTTTAACAAAGTTGCCGAAAATTCTTGTTATATATTAGTACTGTCGGCTTTACAGAGTAGTTTATGATACTTTACCAATATTTTAGCACAGATGTCATGGTCGTGTATAGCAGCGAAGTGAAGCGCCGTGCGACCGTGCTCGCCACCAAGCTCGACGTTGAATTGGTCTTTATACTTCGCGAAGGTTTGGAGGACTGAAACCTGGGTGAGAAAACATGCGTATTATTGTAATTATTAGAGAAATAATCGTAGAAGAATCTGCTATAAATAAAATGGCGCCTAATCATATGGTAACTACTGAAAACAACATTATAACAATAAAGTAGCTATATTACTGCGATTCTTCTTCTTTGTTTTTTTGTGAATGGAAAAGTTTCAAATGACTTCTCCTTCCCAGGAGGGGTGGAGGGAGTGTCAGTCTCTTACTGACTAAAAACGCCCCTGTTCCTTCTCCTGCTGAAGGCCAGGCCGCGCTGACTTATTGCGCTTGTCCCGCAAGACATTTTACATTGGCTGAACTTCAGCCATATAGGGCCCCGGCTGTGGTGGTCTATTGGCTCTTCGAGGCACGCGCAGAACGCGACGCTCCGTATGTTCGGCACGGGTTCTCATCGGGCGGCGATCTACCCTTTCCCGCCGTCCACAGACCAGCGCTTACCGTGGCCGGAGATTATCTCTCCAGAAATTAGAAATTAAACTTGATGTTATGTTTAGAAGAATACTGTTCGAGTCGTTGAGTGTATTGAAATGCAAAGAAAAGCAAATCTATTGATGTCATACTGTAGTATATACATTTACGTGAAATGTTCGAGTGATATGTTCTATAAAAGAACTAACTTTAAACCTTCACATAATCTTGCTGATAGTGAGCTCTGCTTTTATCTTGGTAAATGCGAAAACAGGTTTGTAATAAAAACTTACTCTATTCAACTCTGTAGCTAAGTGAAGAGCACCTTGACTCTTGTCGTTCAAAATGCTGGTATCGACGCGACTGAAAATCAAAGGTCGTGTGGTTAAATGTTATAAGTATAAATTGGTATAAAATCAAATATAAAAAATGGGTACGTTTACAAACATATAATTTGACATACAAATCACACCCAGACCCGGAACAACAGTTAGTGGATTACACAAAGAGTTGTTGCGTACGGGAATTGAAGCCGGCAGCCAATTGCCCAGCCACCGTTTAAATCATGCAGTCACATCAATAATATGACACTATATCAAAATTTGAATGTTAAAGTTACAAATAATATAAACCTAATACATCTATTAAACATTTTCACATATTTCTATACAGTTCATAATAATAGCTATTCAGTACTAAATTACTTGGAGACTACTTGAAAAGTTACTAACTCAATAATAAACATTTTTAAAGACTTTTATCATCAAAGAAATGGGATGATTAATTCCATCCTCCAATATATTATGGTATGAACTGAAGCTTATATGTCTAGGGTTAAAAAAGGACAGTGCTAACATGAAACCAGGTTAACTATGTCATGGACAGGACGTGACCACGCCATACTACCGACCGGAAATTTGCAGGTAAATTTGATTATCAGAAATAGACCAGTTAGTTACACTGCCTGCAACTGCGTCCCCGTAAATATTAGAGAGCAGTCAGTAAAAACATAAAAAGAGTATTTCAGTAACGTTTTTATGACGAAATTGAGAATTATTTTAAATAATTCAAAAAGAGAACCCGTCTAGGGCTCAAAAATTCCTACCATCCTATCATTATCATTATCATCAATCTAAAACTGCTGAGCATAGATATGAATGGTTTCTGCTCAGATTCTTGATTGAGTATTATTCCCAATGTTACTAAAAGTTAAAATCAGCAGATTTCAAACTTCAGGTCCAGGTTTTCTCAGGACACTTTCCTGATGTTTAATAATTTTAGACAGTACATACATACATACAACTTGGCCAAAGTCGTACGTGTAGGTTTAAAACGCCTCGTAAACTTATGCATGAAAAGTGAAGTCATTAAACCCTGTTTCTTTAATATTATCCTCTACCTAAATTTGATGTTTGTTGTGTTATAGAAAAATTACAATAAAGAAGAAGAAAACAAATTTTAAGGAAGGATAAAAGTCCAATTATTCACTGAATTTGGTTTGTAAGTGAGCATGGCATAGTGTACACAAAGCAATTATTTTGGATCAACAAAACACACAACAACATAAGTATTAGGGTAAAGTAAACAACAATTTCACGCTACTAATGACAGAAAGGCATTCCCAAGGCATTTGTGAAAAAGCTCACCTAACAAAGATTTATCAGTATTTTAACCGCAACTTGATTTATTATGTGCTTACTACAAATTGACCTTAAAGCGTTCTTATTTTTATATTACAGGTATATGTTTAAGTCGCAGCTAACTAGCGTAATTATTCATTCAAGTAAAGGCCTAGATTGACTAGCCGTTTATTATACGTTTGATAGTCATTAAAAATAATTCGTAAAACCCCAAGCAAACGCAAAGTATGCGCTCTAATTGTTTTTCTATTGTGTCTCGAATTACTATGTTTGAAAGGTTAAGTTAGGTTAGAACTGCTAGTCGTCAGAAATTGAATTGTCATCAGACGAAGACCGCTACCAGAATTTTTAGATAAACGCTAGACCGGTAACCGAATGGCTAATTAAGAACACAAAAATAACAACGGTAAGTGTCCTAACTGATGATTTAGTAAATCACTGTTTAGTACACTTGTTTAGAAAAAAACATCATCAGGCTACAAGTGCTGAGCAAAGGCCTCATCTCACACGGAGAAGGTTTAAGCATTAATCACCACGCTTGCTCAATGCGGGTTGGCGATTTCAAACTTATAATTGGAAATTATAAAAGTCCAGGATTCCTCGCGATGTTTACCTTCACTGTATGTCAGTGGTGTCTAAATAATTGTAGAAAGTACATATATCTTGGATAGAGTCACATTGACACTTGCCACGAACCCAAACCCTCATGCATGAGAAGCATTCACCTCACCCTCGGGGCCACCACAATAGAAAAAATCTATACTAATGTTATAAAGAGGTAAAGTTTGTAAGTTTATACCTATGTTTATAAGTTTGTAAGTTTGTATGTAGAGGGTAATCTTTGGAACCGCTGTCGGATTACCAAAATTCTTTTGTAAAAATATTTATGTAGGTAACACAACGCGAACATATTATTAATTCATCAAACCCCAAGCATAAGCTCGACGTTCGCGTTCTCGAATTACCACAATTAGTTAAACCTGTTGGTCTTTTGTATGAACTACCCTTTAGACAGCACTTCTTTTTTATGCTTTGCTATCAATCATCATCATTTTTCATTATTTCAATCTTATTATTCTTCACAAACTTATAAACTCACTATAATATGATTACCGGTACTAATTCTCAATACTTCATTACATGTCATATAACAGTTGGTATGTCGGAGAAAGAATCAATTATGAACCCTGTTGGTTACAGCAAAGTGAAATTTACAAATCAACATAATGTAATTTTGTGAGACAATTAAATTATAAAAAATGCGGATACTAGATAACTTCCTACTAGAAAAGCACTCACGTATCAAAACTAATATTCTGCTAAACTCAAATAAATATGATTGTGACTGCACAATAGTTGTTCTGGGATTCGGTTTTGGTTTAGTGTATGCATAATTGTAAATTTACACACTAACAACAAAGACGAAAATCCTATCGAAGGGCACGAATAAATAAAATATAAATAAACATCTCTACGACTTACTGTTGAAGCAAAAACTCGATGGCGTCCAAAGCAACGTTTTCGACAGCGATGTGCAATGGGGTGTTACCAAAATTGTCTTTAGCATTCAAATCTGAAACAAACAATTTGATTTGTTAATAACGAAAAATGTTTTTTTTGGCATGTCACCTTTTTTCCAGATTTTTGACATTTGTCTATATATTTTTTTTTATAGAATAAGTCGACAAACGAGCTAACAGCAAACCTAATAAGAAATCGGCACCAGCACCGCCCATGGACACCAGCAACAATGAAGGAATTACGAGTGCTGCTACGTTGCCGGCCTTTTGGGGATAAGGGTTGCGGATCAATTGCAAACGAATAAGTAAGCAGCATGTAATTGTTCCTGTCTTTTATGTAAGATGGCGATAGCGAGCAGGCAAATTACCTCATGGTAAGCAGCCGGCGCCTCCCAGGGAAACCTACCCTCTCCAACATCAAGGCAGTTGCAAGTTCTTTTCATTCATCGGAGATCTTCATTGATTACCAACATTGCCAATATTTTTTTGTCCTTTATTTTATGACATCTTTAACACAATAGTTTTGAAATTAAATTAATGTAGTCAAATGGAATGGTTTCAACTGGATTGAATATAATAACTATTTATGTACATATGTATAATGACAATGTTTGCCAAAAATTTGCAATTTGCAAAAAAAAGTATGTGACTAAGTACTTTTTTTTGCAAATTGGTCTGTTACAAACGGACAGTCAAACAGACATGGCTAATCCATAATGGTTCTCTTCTTACCATCCAACCACGGAACTCTTAAAAACGGGTTACGATTTTCAATTACGGGTTACAATTACGGTTACGATTTTCCGTATTTAATCTGACTATGATTAACTTAAATCGTTGTATAAGGCTACCAATCAAACACCAGGGTCTTAAATTACAGCAAAACTTACAGAGTCTGCATATAAATGACGACATTAACAATTAAAATGATTAATCGGTACTATGAAAGGCAAACTAAAGGTCCACAGTACTTCAAGCTACAGAATTATTTGAATAAGTAATGAAGACTTTCTGTTGAACTCCGTTTCACCATTAAATTTGTTTAATACGGGATATATTTTTTAGGTTAGCTCTATCAAACATGGTTAAAAAGTTGACTTGTTTTCGTATATCGAAATTCTGGATAAAAAGGAAAACTTTAGATAGATCATGGTCTATAAATAGAACATCCTATAAATACTGATACTGTGGTTATAAGTTGGTCTAACAGCTGGTGTCAAATGCTTTAATGTGGTTTCAAAATGTATTAGCCCTATCAATATATCCTGAAGCGTTCCGTGCGCGACTCAAAGAGCCAATAGACAACTACTACAGGCCAATGTTCAAATGGGGTAGCGGGGTAAGCGCAACAAGGTACGTCAATTAAGACTGACCTCCCCCTCTCAGCTCACCCGGGGCGGACGAAGTTATTTGATGTCTTTTTCTCACAAAAATACCAAATTGTTATAATTACAGATGTATAATGCACATTAAATAACTATTAATATGTATACGTTCCAGAAAGTCGTCGTTTATATTAACAATAACGCGGAGCCTTTCATGTATTCACACTAGTATTCAAAATACGAAGTCCTTTTATGTCGCAGTAATTAAGAATTAGCTATCTAATAATATAGCTAATAGCTTTCAAAATTCTGTAAATATTTTCTTAAAATAAGCTCACTTCATAGCTGTTCTTCTTTGCATGAAAGAAAATTGGCAACTTTTAAATCTAGTCTCCTATTAGTTGGATCCTGTGACACCAAAATGAAGCGACTGGATTGACACAGATCCCTCGGTCGGCCAGATAATTGAGTTTCTCTGCCACATAACCCTGTGCCGGCCTTTTTACGAAACTCGCAACCTAATACAGGACGTAACGAGATAAAAAGGGAATACAGCCTTGATCTAGTTCGCCTGTTCTACCATACTGTCAAAGTTCAATATTTTAACTTTGTGTTGGTAATCAACCACTAACCAATATCCATTCCATACATTGTCAATTTTGGCGCTCACGGAGTATGACACAAGAGTTCGTTAGTAATTGCAACGGCAGATGAGTAGTTTTTTTCACTTGTATGTATATCATTAGTTTGACGTGATTGAGACTTGGACTTTGTTTTTAAACGGCTTAAAATTTTTACATCATAAAACTATATAGGTTAAATTCAGAAATTCACCTCATGAATTGATACTAGTTGTTATTCGTTCAATGTTTGTAAGATTTGTACAGATTTTGTGCCCTCCAACAGTTTTCGGGAGTTTTTTATTATATGGCTGTGTGTTTTTCTTATTCTAGAGACAAACCTACATGAGCCTGAACTTTATATTAGCTAGTAAACGTTGTTTGTAAAATAATAATAAAGGACATATGTATACATAATATGTTTGCTTGACTATTGTTATTGTGCAATGATGTGTTAATGTGGTTAGTATGGTAAACAATATAAAATCAAAATTTCGATTTTAAAAACCCAAATCACATAATGTGTTGGGTTTAGGATTCAACTTTTTTTAATAGTACTGCAATGCAATATTTTTACAATAAAAGTGTAAAAAGAAATGACGTTTCGTGATATAATTTTCATAATGTATATAATAATATTGCCTCGGTTAAAAGAACGAACCTGGTGTAAAACATATCAACCTTGGTACTTGATCTCGATACCCAGATTTAGTCCAGTTACATTAGGTATTTTTGATAAAAAATCAGAGTATGAAATTGTGATCTGTGTGTGTGTCAATAAATATGTGTTATAAGAGTGGGAGAGCCAAGCTTCAGCACGAATGAGTCGGCTCGACCGGAGTGATACGGCCTCACAGAATACTGGCGTGAAACAACCCACAGCGTTGTGTTTCGCCGTGTGAGTGAGGTTACTGGAGGCCCAATCCCTCCCCTTCCCCTACCCTTTCCCCTATCCCTTCCCAATCCTTATATCCGCAACCCTTATCCCCAAAAGGCCAGCAACGCACTCGTAAACTCCTTTGGTGTTGCGGGTGTCCATGGGTGGCGCCGATTGCTTACCTGCTTACCATCAGGTAATCCGTCTGCTCTTTTGCCAAAATACAGAAAATGAAAAAAATGAGAGAGATATTGGTTTACAAAAATAAATATCGGTGAGATTGCAAATCATATTCATTTAGGTTTTTCTTCTTCATTCCAATCTATTTTGGAACGACCACCTAGCTTCCCCTTTTAGCAGACTGGCGGTTTCATTCTCTATTTTTGTTGATATTTAAAAAGTACCCGTATTAGTTGGAATATACATATATTTTTGACCTTTGTTTTTGACTACAATCTAGAACCTGAACCCGAGAAGAACTAGTCCAACGAAGTCTATGCCATACGTCAGTACTATGATAGGCCTTTACTAAAAAAAGAGGTCTATGTTCAGTTACTGAAGACTCTCTGAGAAAAAACTATCTAATGCACGGTAGTTATATTAATTAATAAGGAAGTAAAGTGTGTTTGTTTGTTTTCCTTTGCGTCGCAATGCGGGTTTTTTTCGGTCACTAGTAGTTTTTGTGTCTAGTTATAGGTACGATACGGGAGAATGTGTATTTCATAACCTTCTGAGCGAGTCTCTTGTTGAGAGGTTTTTTATTTGACCACGTGCGTGAAGTTGCGCGTTGTAAGTCGGCTGGTAATGTAATTTGTAACTTGATTTAATCAAACAAATTTGCTATCAAATACAAACATTATAAGAAAATGTTTATGTAGGTATGGAAAAAGTTTGGTTATTACAGAATTATTTGTAGACTTAAAGTGAATAGTTTATGAGCGTTATGGATAATTTCCTTCATAACCTTGATTGAGTAGGTCTAAAACACCAACTACAAAATAAGATTTAGATATATTCGTTGATGATAAAATAGGGTATTGAGTCTAACAAATTATTAACCTCACGTCGGTACGGTGGAGTATACGGTAGCGGTATGCCCTGCCTGGGCTGAGCACCACCGTATCCTTAGGAAAGTTATAGGCGGCGGCGACCTATCGGGCCCGGCCTTAGTCGACACCACGGTGCGGGTCAAGAGGAACTGGGAAGCCGCCTCCTGTTTTGTGAAGCAGTTATTCTCGCAAAGAAGAGACAAAGCACGTGAGGGAGCTATCCTCCTCGCACTGGGTGTCAGGGATCGAGATATGATCTCCGGCCCCGCGCGGGTCTGCGGACGGCGAGTAAGGGTGTCTTGCCGATCGACCAGATCCAGACCCGAGCTTACAGCGCATAGCGTTCCAAGCACGCCTCGCCACAAAGAGCATGTAGACCACCTCAGACGGGACCCTATAGGGTTAATGTTTAGCGGGGGGACATTCGCATCACTCGACAGTGACAGCGACATTTGAAAGCGAAATTTTATTTGGTTAGTAAGTAGTTTGGCAAGCCTTGAAATTATGGCAGGACCTTCTTTTGAAGAGAGTGCTCAATGTTAGTACTGAATTCATACGGGTTGTTTAATTTATAGTTAATAATTAATATTGTAGTATAGTTATCTTTCCATACATCTTTTACAAAAACAAAACAAACTGTTGACAACAAACAAAATGTCATAATACCTAATATGTACAAAAACTACATCGAAATCATCTATCTGTTGATAACCCGACTTTAGCATCATTATTGCAACTATTCTCCAGCCTATGTAAGCCTATTGATGAGCAAAGTCTCTTCTTACAAAGAGAAAGCATGAAGCATTAATTGCCAAGCTAGCAATTAGCAATAGCTTTCTCAAGGTAGATTAGCAATTTCAAACTTGTGTAATTATAAGTTGGTAATATTTCTCCTTGTGAGAAGAGTCCTTCGTTAGTAGCAAAACAGTTAGGAGCTAATAAAGATGTTCTATATAGCAATGCGGGACCGAAGTCGAGCATGAAAACTCATAGCAGTCGAGTAGTTTTGCAGTTGAAGTAAAAATTACCACCGACGAGACTGTTCAACTGACAATTCAAATTATATTGGTGCCTAGATATTTTTTTTAATATAACAGTAATATTGACTGTCTTTTTAGTTATTCAACTAGGTCATCCATCAATCACCACATTATCAGCCTATTAATGCTGACAATGTCACTC